TGGCTGCCTGTCGGCCATGTTGTTTATCCGATCAGTCTCAAAAAATGCCCTGCACAGCTAAGGACCAAGGGGAACCTGCATATAAAATTGGAGAAAGATTTCTCTAGTACTTCTTGAGAAATAGCAATAACAAACTTTCAATATCAAAATCCAAGATGGCTGCCTGTCTGCCATGTTGTTTATCCGATCAGTCTCAAAAGTTGCCCTGCACAGCTAAGGTCCAAGGGGAACCTACATATAAAATTTGAGAAAGATCCCTCTGGTTCTTCTTGAGAAATAGCGATAACAAACTTTCAATATCAAAATCCAAGATGGCTGCCTGTCTGCCATGTTGTTTATCCGATCAGTCTCAAAAGTTGCCCTGCACAGCTAAGGTCCAAGGGGAACCTACATATAAAATTTGAGAAAGATCCCTCTGGTTCTTCTTGAGAAATAGCGATAACAAACTTTCAATATCAAAATCGAAGATGGCTGCCTGTCCGCCATGTTGTTTACGGACGGACGATGGACGACGGACGACGGACCTCGGACGCAGGGTGATTTGAATTGGTGGGCTAAAAATCTTTCACAGTTTTAAAATTAAAGTTAACATAACATTTTTTGGATTTTTGCTCTTATTTAACTTTTGACCTTGAGAATGGTCACAGTGACCTAATTACAGCATACTGTTAACATTCAGTAAGTGATGCATCTATACTTAAAATTTCATAAAGATAGCAGCTGAAGAATTATGTCCGGGACAAGATTTTGCTTGAATTAAAAGAATCACAAAAGAAAGTCAAGGTCCAGAATCACAAGATCTTAAATTCATACAATCTCTACATTCATACAATCATTTGTTAGGGAGATATACCGGTAACTTAACAGGATGTACCAGAAATGAACCTTGTGTTCTACAGACATTAACTGATATAAGGTAGATGGTAATATCTAACAATCGCTGCTACAGCTATACTGTATACATACCATTCGGTGAAGGTTTACTCTGAAGTTCATGTTGACATCATGCATTAGTGAATTGGCGTACTGATCCTAAAACATATAATTACATGACTGTTAAGTAATAGGATTGTTTAACAGATTCATATAAACCTACCAATCAAAGTATCCGTAATAGTGATATGACTTATCAAACTTGTAACACAACTTAGACTTGTAAATGTAGCGGTTGACACTTCACTTCAAGCATTGTTACAATACAGTTTGCATATATTGCTGAAATGACTTTGAATTTTGCAGCTGTCCTATTAACACAAATATATTAACAAAACACACAATAGCAATAATAAAATATACATATAATTCCATGACTGATGACTAAATCTTCAGAATGTTAATATACCAGTTGAACTAACATCATGTTGGTTATACCAGAATGACCATTAAATATACTGTGCAGTTCCTATTTCACTTATACAAAGAGTACTCAGATATTGATGAAACAAATTCCATGTTTTTTATTATTATTCAATATTCAAAAGTCTAGATCTGTCCCCTCAGGTAACATATCTTGTGTATAGCTGATGTCATCTGAGGGTTGGAATTTGATAGGAAACCAAACTGAGATGTTAGCCAGAGATAAATTAAGATAAAATGTGATAACTCTAGTGTCATAGAAAGTCATGACCTTGTCATATTAGCTTACCTCTGCTATACATGTGAGGATAATTAAACACAGTTTGGCATTGCTGTATCGGGTGGTATCTAAAACAGAGAGAGTGGAATAAATATACAATTCACTACTGCATCAGGTGGTATCTAAAACAGAGAATAAAAGGTCACTCCACTGATTGCCATTTACACTATAACAAAACAAGACAAGATATTAAAAGCAATCATAGTCTCTCACCTCTAGAAAAATTTGGTATCAAAAATGTACAAAGAGCAATAACTCTGTGTATAATAGCTAGGACACAAGACCTGGTTTCAGTACATTGTTTCCTGAAGAACTCATGTATGCGATATGTACCTGACAAAGAGATCAATAGTAGACAAGGGTCCATGTACCTGACAAAGTGATCAATAGTAGACAAGGGTCCATGTACCTGACAAAGTGATCAATAGTAGACAAGGGTCCATGTACCTGACAAAGTGATCAATAGTAGACAAGGGTCCATGTACCTGACAAAGTGATCAATAGTAGACAAGGGTCCATGTACCTGACAAAGTGATCAATAGTAGACAAGGGTCCATGTACCTGACAAAGTGATCAATAGTAGACAAGGGTCCATGTACCTGACAAAGTGATCAATAGTAGACAAGGGTCCATGTACCTGACAAAGTGATCAATAGTAGACAAGGGTCCATGTACCTGACAAAGTGATCAATAGTAGACAAGGGTCCATGTACCTGACAAAGTGATCAATAGTAGACAAGGGTCCATGTACCTGACAAAGTGATCAATAGTAGACAAGGGTCCATGTACCTGACAAAGTGATCAATAGTAGACAAGGGTCCATGTACCTGACAAAGTGATCAATAGTAGACAAGGGTCCATGTACCTGACAAAGTGATCAATAGTAGACAAGGGTCCATGTACCTGACAAAGTGATCAATAGTAGACAAGGGTCCATGTACCTGACAAAGTGATCAATAGTAGACAAGGGTCCATGTACCTGACAAAGTGATCAATAGTAGACAAGGGTCCATGTACCTGACAAAGTGATCAATAGTAGACAAGGGTCCATGTACCTGACAAAGTGATCAATAGTAGACAAGGGTCCATGTACCTGACAAAGTGATCAATAGTAGACAAGGGTCCATGTACCTGACAAAGTGATCAATAGTAGACAAGGGTCCATGTACCTGACAAAGTGATCAATAGTAGACAAGGGTCCATGTACCTGACAAAGTGATCAATAGTAGACAAGGGTCCATGTACCTGACAAAGTGATCAATAGTAGACAAGGGTCCATGTACCTGACAAAGTGATCAATAGTAGACAAGGGTCCATGTACCTGACAAAGTGATCAATAGTAGACAAGGGTCCATGTACCTGACAAAGTGATCAATAGTAGACAAGGGTCCATGTACCTGACAAAGTGATCAATAGTAGACAAGGGTCCATGTACCTGACAAAGTGATCAATAGTAGACAAGGGTCCATGTACCTGACAAAGTGATCAATAGAAGACAAGGGTCCATGTACCTGACAAAGTGATCAATAGTAGACAAGGGTCCTAACTATGTATTAAGTTAGGCATACATTTAAATTTCAGTACTTTCCCTCCAATTCTTATTTTTTATATCCTATTGAAGGAAAGTAACTCTGTACCATTTCAAAATTTCAACAATGGTTGTTTTCCAAACTTGTTAAATTCATTTAATCATATATTTTCAAACTACAATTGAGTGTCTGGAGTCTGCAAAATGAGGAATGCTTCAAGGAATTATATGTTAATTTTTGAACTCCAAAATTTAAAAAGTTACATTATGGGCAAAACATTGCCCATCAAAGCATAATTTCATAAAACTGTTTGGGTACATTTAATAAGCTTTTAAAAGAAATGTTGAAGCCTCAGACAAAGTGACTGGGTTGAGTTGAGTGCTCATACCTTTAGTGTCCTGCATGACAACCGAGCTGTACTCGAGGAAGGTCACCAGCAGGTTTGTAGGCTGGCTCACGGTTTCTATCACAGCTAGATCTGTAGGGGATGCTGAAAGTCATGAAATAACACGCTTTATTTATACTGGCAAACTTTACGAAGAACAAATCCAGCAAGGTAGACACATTCTTATTAATCTGTATCAATCAAACTTTTATAAAAAGTCAATTTTCTGATAAAATTAACTTAACAAAAGTCATCGAAATGCTCTGCTTATCTTCATCAGACTTGTCATCCTGATAAAATATAGGCACTTCCTACCAACTAGGCTAGGGAGACTTTTCGTTTAGCTCATTTGGTTGAGCATCATATTAGTAAACCAAAGGTCTTGAATTCAATTCCTAGTGTAGGAAATAATTATAATAATCAAGTATATTAGAGTCCTAGGTTTGATTCCTAGCAGAGGCATTGTTAATAATAATAACCCTGGTAAAACATCAATCACTTCCTACAGATTTTGCTACGGAGAGTTTCTCTTTAACTCATTTGGTAGAGTGTAAGACTAGTAAATCAGAGGTCCCTAGTTCGACTCCTGGCTGAGGCATCTAAAAATAATGACCACCATTACAACACTGGTAATTATGACCTCTGTTACACAATACCATCAGGATTATTTTTTTACGATCAACATAATCCTAGTTATACCTTTCTCCAGAGGGGGTGTGGTCTGTGACAGCGTAGGTGAAGAGGGAGGTGTGGTGGGCGTTGATGGAGTGTGAGTCTGAAAAGAAAAAAATCCAATTACAGCACAACAAATTACGTAGCCTGTCAATACAGAGCTGTCATAGTCATTGACAGTCACTAGGGAGATATAGATAAATATATTATATTTCACTATCCTTGAATTATCTTCAAACTCTGATGAAGCATGGATTCAACAAAACATATTATCAAAGTTATTATACATTGTCTTTTACACAAACATTTTGAATGATAATGTCTGGTTCTGTTCATACATGGGTTAGAGCTGTGATGAAGTTTCTGTTGAGATGAATGGCTTCGTATAGGGACAGGAGTACAGCATCGTCAGCTCTGTAACACGTATAGTACAACAATGATAACACATGCAGACATAAGCTGTGTAAATATTACAAAACAGCAACAAAATCCTACACACTAAGGCACCAGAAGAAGATTGTAAGGTAAATGACACTGAATAAGATGGTATTACAACTTATATTAACTTAGCTGCATAGTTCTATCACACTTCTTACAAGGATTTCAATTAAAAAAGAAATATATATCATTATTAATTTATTTTGCCTGTTTTTCTTCTATTTAAATACATTTTGATAGTTAAATTCACAAAAACTCTCATACCTGACTCCTGATATTTGTTTTTCATCTGCAACAAACATGTTTCCTACCTGCAAAATAAATAAAGTCAACCTTGTGAAAAATTAAGAATTTTCAAAAGAGTACCTCAATATATTACTTGATTAAATAGATTAAATTGTTAATGTCCCAATAGCATTGTCTCTTATCACTCAATCAAATGAATATACAGTGTATTCATAATTACCTTGACTTTAAGACCAATAAATTAACCTAAAATAGATGTCTGAGCAATATCTACTTGAAACAAATACAATAGTGATCACTAATCAACCTCAAAATCATAGTGTAACAGTCCAAAATTATTGTGTAACAGTCCAAAATTATTGTGTAACAGTCCAAAACCATAGTGTAAAAGTCCAAAATCATAGTGTAACAGTCCAAAATCATAGTGTAACAGTCCAAAATCATAGTGTAACAGTCCAAAATTATTGTGTAGAGAATGAAAAATATATATTTATACTGTAGTAACAGTGACCTTGACCTTTGACCTTGTCGACCCCTCATACAATCACTCACATTCTCATCCCATAAAAAATCGGTGTGATGAGCTAAATCGAAGCTTTCCCAATGTTGCGCAGAAAGTAATGCCTGAGCAATATTAACTTGAAACAAATACAATATTGATCACTTATCAACCTCTGAATCATGGTGTAACAGTCTCAAATTACTGTGTAGAGAATGAAAATATATTCATAGTAAGTGACATTGACCTCTGACTTTGATACCTGTCATACAATCGCTCACAGTCACATCCCATAAACAATCAGTGTATTGAACCAAATCAAAGTATTCCCATTGTTGTGCAGAAAATGAAAATCTAATTTTAGAATATGACCTTGAGCTTTGATCATGTGATCTCTTTTGCAATCCCATGTATCTTTGTTCAATAAAAGAAACCTGTGTGTAAGATGTTTGAACATGTTAAACTTGAGGAACCTCAAGAATTGATGACAAAGCTTTGTGTGATGGATGGACATTGGACAGAAAACAAAACAACAATTTAATGAATTACTATAATAATACGCAAACATAAAAAATCTATAAGTCTTCATGATAATCATTTAATTACGTATGTATATTGGAATCTATTCACAATATATGGATGCAAGAATTGCTACTGGTGTAAACATGGTCAGTTCCTAATACATATGTATAAGTGGACTTGCTATAAGAGTTATCTCCCTTCTTAATTTTATTTTTGGCTGATAAAAACACCCTAAATATTACTTATTCTTCTGTTTAAGTTACTTACTGCTCAACAATAATCTGGGGATTGATACAAACATTCAGATAAAACAAAATGCCACAAATAAAACATCAATTTCTGAAAAACACATCAGTTGCTCATGGAAATATTGTAAATTGTTATAAACCTCTATTTCAAAATTTCAAACTTTACATATAGGGAGATTCCAAGCTCTACCAATTTGGTGATGACCTTCTTTACTGATGGTTCATTTAGAATGATGAAAGGTTTCTCAGGCGTCTGTCTGAGACATGTCACCTCCATTGTTACGCACGACATGTTACCTCTCTGACTCTACACCATCACCATGGTTACACATCTGAACACGACATGCTACCTCTCTGACTCTACACCATCACCATGGTTACACATCTAACCATGACATGTTACCTCTCTGACTCTACACCATCACCATGGTTACACATCTAACCACAACATGTTACCTCTCCGACTCAACACCATCACCGTGGTTAAACATCTAACCACGACATGTTACCTCTCTGACTCTACACCATCACCGTGGTTCAACATCTAACCACGACATGTTACCTCTCTGACTCTATACCATCACCATGGTTCAACACCTGAACATTTCATTACCTCAAGAAAGGGAATTGCTGAAATCTATTACACATCTTTCATATACAAAAAAGAACAAGCTTCAGCATTTGTAATTTCTTGCCTGAATAGGGGTTCCATCCTTATATTACAAGTTTGTACCAAATGACATATGTATAATATTTGACAGTCAACTGTTTTGTTGTTTTCATTCTTTTAGGAGAACCAACAAACTCAACTGATTTGCTGAAGCAAGATGAGCATGATAAGTGTTCCTCTTGTTATGGGTCTTTATTTCAAACAGCTCATTTTAAGCGACAGCAATATTTGACAACCACACCACATAAACCATCTGAATTTCACCAACAAAAGTAAAGGGTATTGCTCAAGAACGCTTTCTTTCTTTTGATTAGAATATTTAATATTAATTCTAAATCACAATTCTATGATTTTATAGCTTTACTGACATGTCTCTTTACTCACCATTGAAGCAAGAGCTGAGAACCAGCCATTCTGTTGTTCTGCATTCCTGTTCCTAAACTTGCTGAAGAAGGAAAAACACATGATCAACAGCACTGAAAATACAATTAATTTTCAAATTGATACCTACTGTAAATCACATTGACCGACATTTACTGCACTAGATATATATTTGAAGTTAATTTATGAGTAGTGTTAGTTGTGAATTAAAAATGTCACATTATTTATTCAGGCTAACTTGAATAAGGGATTCATAATCTTAAAACAGGTAATTCTTTTACAAATAAAAGTGTATATTTAAAAGCTGGTTTTACAAAACATATTACAATTGCTCATATATAAAGGAACAAAATTATGCGATTTTTAACAAGTCAGATATATTTTAGATTACCTCGTAATTAGTACTTACTTGTTGAAGTCTGACAAGGCACTGTGGACAACTTGCGCATAGCCCTTAAAATACAGAATCAGCCATTGTTTTGTTTCTCTCAAGTCAAGATTCTAACACGAATTGTTTGCAACAACAGATATCATTGTATACAGATCAAGTTCTAATCTGCAAAAGAACCATTGTTCAATTGTGTCATATAAATTTTACACAGCTTTAACAGTCATCATTGTAAATACCGTCAGTTTAGTATGCATCAGACTGGGAATTGTAAGAATCCAGTCAGTCAAATATGGACTACAGTACCTCAGACTTCATAAACAAAATTGTATACAGATTGACAGTTATAATACTAATCTGAGAAAGTCAGAATCTTCTGTGAAGTAGCCTGTACAGCTCATGACTTGACCAAAGTTGCCATTAAGACATGTGTACTCACCGTGAGTGCCAACTCGTCATCAACAATGGACAGCTTTACGATATACTGGTTGGCCGACTGAAACAAGAATTACAGTTCTCTGTTGGAAATATCGGTACATTATTACAAAATAGTGATATACCCAGGTAACATGAAATAATGAAAACTCTATCCTATTTTCTATTGCATACAATATTATATACTGTATAAAAAGGTGTTTTTATGGCAGTATTTTCACGCTTTTTCATGGTCTGAAGAATTCAACATGGCAATAATTATTTCTAGTATTAAAGTATTAACGATACATATCTGACAACCTTGAAACATGAAACTCAACACTATCTTTTCTGGTTAAAGTGGAACTATAAGTCACAGAACACTATCTTTTCAGGTGAAAATGAAACTGTAAGTAAGAATCTCTGATACAAAATATAAATCATATAGACTTAAATATTCTGGTAGGGGCATAAAATAATCTCAATGAAATTACTGGAACATTTTCAATACAAAAAATATCAAACACATTAACTCCTCTAGATAAAGAATATACAGAACATAATTGTTTCTTTAATTTCACTCACCTCATATTTTCTGTACTGTACCAGTATTGTGAGCAAAAGTACTGCATCTCGGCCGAGGATTTGTCGGGAGATGGAATTACTAAGGATTTGTAGTAGAGACTCAAACACACTGTTAATGAGGATGTACTCAAGAAATGTATTCTGACTCACATTGTCTGCAGCCTGTAATATAAAACATACCAATCAAGATACCAAATTGTCACCAAAACCTTTTAGAAATCCTGTCATTAGGTTTATTATTACAGTATTTTGATTGCTTAACTTTCTCAATCAGTGATATAGTAATCATTTTGTTATGTCATATTCATCTGATACAATGTCACTTAAAAACCATTTTCTACTTCATAAACCATTCTCAACTTGACCACAGTCAGGGACGATTGCTGCTCATCATTATGTTTTTTAACTGTATAACAGAAAATGTTGCCACAGTTATAACTTTTCACCCTTTTGGCCATCTGTAACGAGTGTAAATTGCATACCATACAAAACAAATACTTATGAAGAAGGAAATTTGCACATGACCAATATGGATTTTACCACTGAAGGACAAATATTTCACCGGCAATAGTTTCCCAGTATACATCATATTAAATTCTGTCGATCATTCAGCACATGTTACTGAAAGTTTTGTACATATATGAGAGGTGGACTGTGAATTGAGCTGATGTACATGTAAATAGGAAACGTCAAATGAGAAAAATAATGAAGGATTGACAGTGTATGATGACAACAAAACATACACACAGTATGACAGTACGATTGTTTTTTCTTGCTTAAAATGTCTCATTTGTAACAAACCCTGTTACAAGTGATGTAGGTAAGGTGATTGAAAACTGATATAAAATCGTCAAGAACACTTACTGTAGCTAGGACTTGGAGAAACTTGAGGACCTGTTGTTTCAATGTGATGGAGTATTCTCCAGTAAGAATGGCATTCAAACTCTCAACAAGGGACTGTAAAGTACAATGTACACATTGTTTTACACTACCAGCAGTATTACCACTCATATAACCTAAGGCATTTTTCTTTTGAAAATCACACAAAATAGAATATATATATATATATATTTATCAAAATAATGTCATTTGTTTTATTTGAATATGACATTAGGAAATGTCACCATACACGAGAATGGATGTCCATTAAGATTCAAATTGACTACCCCGTAATTAACATTTTGATTTACAAAACAATGATGAAGCTTTGATACAGTTACACACGGACACATGTATACTCAAAGCTGGTGTCAGAAAAACAATGAGAAATGTGCAGGGTTAACAAGGAAATTTAAGTATTGCATTTTCATAAACTTGTCAATAGTCAAGAGAAGGCTTGAATTAATCTCTTTCTTTGTTTAAACACAAAATTTACCTTGACAATGCTTCCAATATGACACACGACAACTTACCTGCATTACACTTTCAGCAGAATCAAACCCAATTAACAGGTTAATCACATCAAACCCAAAGTCTCCTAGGTTTTTCTTGAAGATTCCATTGATCAAAGCACTGAGCGTCTGAAACACAAGAAAATAATTAAAAAGAGCTTCATCTTTAAACACATAAATAGAAGTAATAGAAAAGATGAAACAACTCAATATTACGAAAATAAGCCAGTCTGTAATGGCTGATAAAAATATCCTTTATTAATTAAACCAAAGAACAGCTGATTTTATAAACTATTCTATTACTTCACAATTAATTCTATTCAAGTAAACTCACACAAACTATTATGTCAGAACCACTGGTAAGAAATCCAAATTGTCTCCTCCTGCATTCCCAATCACCAAACATTCTCTTTTCTTGCATTCCCAAACACACACCGTATGTTGATAATTTCAATACTTCAACAAGAGTGATTAATTTATGTTGGAACAAGAGTACCGCAAGGCGGACCAATATACGCCCGTCCCATGCCAAATTGAAATACTTCAAATACTTCTGATGTATATTGCATGACAAAAAGTAACTACATTTGTATTGGATCACTGAGTGACGCATTGAAAAGAGAAAACATACTGTATTTGACTAGCTTAAAGCTGAAGAAATGCTGTTAAATAAAGGGCCATAATTCTGTACATTAGAGTCGGATAATGGTGGTTGTCGTACTTGTCCAAACTTTCATGGTAATTAACCTTCCTACAGTGGCGGATCCAGAGACCTTTATGGGGGGGTTTCTAAATTTCCTGGGGGGGGGGTTCCATGTGGGGAAAAATTAAGGAAAATGGTGAAAATACATGAAAATGCTCAAGGTGGGGGGGTTTCCTGAACCCAAAAAACCCCTCTGGATCCGCCACTGTCCTATAAAGTTTGAGGCTAATTTATCAAAGGTTACTATAGATGTGGAGTAGTGACTGTGCGTAAGCCAGGGGCCATAACTCTGTAAATTACTATCTGATAATGATGGCTATCGAAAGTGACCAAGCTTTAATGGTAATTAACCTTTCTATGAAGTTTGAAATTAGTCCGTTGAATATTACTCAAGATATCGAATGAACACTGTTTCAGCAATTGAATAAGGGCCATTACTCTGTAAACTAGTTGGATAAAGGAGGTTATCAAACTTGTTTAAGCTTTTATGGTTACTGTCAGATCTTTCTATGAAGTTTGAATTTAATCTATTGAAAATTACTCAAGATATCAGGTGGACACTATTTTAACAATCTAATAAAAGGCAACAACTCTGTAAATTATAATAATAATTCTTTGGCTTTCACCTGTAACGTACTGCTCATAAAAAACTGACTTGTCTTGAATATCAAAAGTTATATGACTTTCATGTTGATCCTATTGTTTTATAGCATACTTTTTAATGGTAAAAGCTACAACCTCTTCTGCCATTATTACTATCTTAAAAATAAAATTGCTATGGATGGGAGGTAACACATCATTTTAATAGTAGATTGTATAGATTCATATTATTTCATTCATATCTAAATCAGATTGGGTCTCGATTTTTGCATTAAATTATGTATGTTTCATACAATTAAGATGTCAGTCTTTTTATTTTATATTCTATAACCATCTCAAGTGACAACCTCATAAAAACAGTAAACTTAAAGCAAGGACAGTATTGTCAGCTTGGGATACTTACATATAAACATTCATAAACTAAACAATGACTAGCTAGGGTACTTACATATAAACATTAATTAACTAAACAATGACTTGGATACTTACATATAAAGCATTTACAACCCGAATAGGATTGTCTTCCTTCAATGTTTCCACTGCCCGATAAAACAACATATTTAAGTTATCCTGAAAGAAATAAACAAAATCTTATCCTGTATTGCAAAAATTTTATACATATTTCCATCCATAACATTTCTTAAACACTCTCAATTTTGTTCATATATTTTTACATACTTCATAAAATTAGAAGATACGTACCTGCCATTTTTTTCAATTTTCATACAGTTAATTAATCAAAAATGTCCATGAATGTACAAACACATTACCATATTGTTTTTTATACCTTTAAAACAAGCAAGGCTTCCCCAGTCATCTTCTCAAACTCATTTTCTATGTAGCCTATGTTCACCTGTAAATGTTATATACCGGGGTATAAATGTCACATTTAATCATAATTCAGTTTCATTATCATTGAATGTCAATAACAATGGAATTTACTTGAAGGATTTTTCTTTTTTTCTTTTTGAGAAACCATCTCTTTTTCTTTTCTCTGAAAAACTTCTGTGTATCATTGCTAATTGAGGAGTCTGCTACTTTCAGATTTCCTAAATCAATGGTTATTAAAATGCCTTATAGACAACCATGACAACTGTAAGGTACCTTTTCAGATTTTTCTTAAAATACATATATCATGGTGAATTTTTTATCTGTAACTCAAGTTCCTATTTTTGCTTTCTAAGTTGAAAATCATGTTTTTTTTCAGTTGTACAGCTATTGAAAAGATAATTGAAATGTATCATATTAAGGCACCTTCAGAAGAAAAAACTCATCCCAGAAGTTGCTGTTACCGGCTGATGGGTCCTCTCCCTAAAAGATAAAGAAATCATTGGAAATGGATGACTTACATAGTTATATATATGTTGGATGTATATATAGACGAAGAACATTATTTTTGAAATCACTGCTGTGTATATGATATAAATACATGTAAAGCACAAAAATATAATTATCATTAACTCTTTCCGTACTGTTGTCATGTACACATGACAACAATATGTCATCCTGGTCCCCGTTGTCGTGTGTATACGACAAGAACCTTTGGTGTTTTCCGTCTTTTATTTAGCTGGTTATTGCACACGACAGTCGCGTAATCCAATTATTGTCGCTAAAATCAGCACCCAGAGTACACTTTTGTCATCATTTGACATATTGTTTTTGAATTTGACGCAAGATGTTTGCGTTAGGTGATCTCAAATAAAAACAATATGACGGAGACTTAATTCGATACGAACACTTGTAAATTCATCACCAAATTTTTATTGAGACTAATGAAAGCAAATATGAATATCTTAATAAAGTCTCGATAAAAGCTACTTGTATTTAGAAAGAAAAAAAACGTTTGTTTGTTGCCTGACAAATGTCAATTTCTCAGTCATAAGCAGCTGTCAGTAAGTTATAATGCTGCGAGAATGAAGATATGTATATGTCTATGAACAATATGAATCAATAACACCATTTGTTCAGGGTTACCTGTTTATTTCTTGCAGCAGTAACATCTTCTCTAAAAAGGACATTTAATAATACACTATTTTGTTAGTCAGTACATCGGGTACAGAATCCGGACCAGAGTTGCGGTACGGAAAGAGTTAAAATATGAAATTAAATGCTTGTCTGTCACAGAATATTTTTTAGTGATCAGATGTAACCACTCATTCTGCTATACAATATCATTTGTATAGGCTTTCAAACAAGCACATTATACCTTTGGGCTTTTTGGTGATTGACAACGATCTACGATGGTGACCAATTAAAGTTAAATGTAGACATAATTCACTACCAAACAGAGAGTTAAAGAACCGTAAGAAAACTTCACAAGTTGTGAAATTAATCCTAGTTTCCCGATTCATTTCATATCGCATCGATCCTATACTTTACCTGAAAGAACACCTCGTAAATCTGGACAACTTTTTCCTTTAGAGCCATTTTGCTTGATGAGCTCTTCCTCAGTAGTATAGCGTGGGGCTTCTTTTCTTCCCCAACTTCCACCTGGCTCATGACGTCTACCTCATGTGACAAACAGGGTTATTGGCAATTTGCAGCTGTAAATTTACAATGAGTAACATCTATGAAAAAATACACAATATGCAATATCTACTTGGTACATTACGTGTCATATTCATTCCCTCATCAGAACTTTTAACATGTGCCATCGGAAATAAGGCAAATGGGTAGTTAAATAATTAATGGTCTCAAAAAGGTATTGTCTGAAAAAGGCACAACTATAAATAGAAGGTTTATACTTTATTTATAAAGTGTCAAAAACTGTGTTGGTTACTTTATTCTAACCATATAAGGTTCTTTTAGCTTTCGTGACAAATAGAACAAGTGCATGTGCATTAATGGGGCAAACAAAGTGCAGTGACAGCACAGTTGGTGATTGGTGGTAGGGGACAAAAAACATGTTATAAAAAGTGATGCTTTAATTCAAAATTCTGAATGTTAAGGATATAATAATTTGTACAAAATGTAGAAACAGTCTTATTAGCCTCAGGTAGAAGGGATTTCCAAATTTAGCTCTGTGTTAAAGTGACTGACAAGAAAGTGTGGGTCACTAGTTTGATCTCTAGCCAAAACACATGTCTTTGTGTCATTCCTTTCTATTACATGTTTCCGTAGGCGAGAGCACATGGGCATGGATTGCTTTATTTGTGATATTAAAAAATAGTGGTCTCCTATACTAATGCCATTTATTTTTCAATCTGCACAGAATGATATCCCACCCTATCATTGGCTACCTGTATGTATGCGAAAGGGAATGTACTCCAAAAAAGTTACCTCATTTGTTTTCCGCCACTGATAGGGCGGGACATCAGTCTGTGCGGAGCGTAAAATAATTAGAAAGAAATGGCACCTAGTTGTCGACTGCTACTGTGTAATGCAGTTGTGTGAGGGGGAAAATCCCGATATATACCGCTTGTCATGTGTAGAAACTGATCGACGTAGTATTTCAGAGAAGTGGGCAGTACATGTATTGGATTGAGGATATTAAATAAGGATTTAAACCATTCCTTGGATATATTTCTCAAGTTTATCCGTGAAACTTGGTCATTTCTTGTGAGTATAGAATTTGGTTCGGTCACAATTTAACGGTGTAATTGCGACTTTAAAGCGGTGTCAGTGGATAACTATGTGTCAGACAGTCGTAATTATGGTTTCATTTTGTAAATAAATCACTTGTCTTCAATATTCAACCGAGGTATATCCAATATGGACAAAGATTTGTGATTGACACGAGCTGAAAGAGAAAAGGGGGTAACGGATTTCAGTCTGTCGTTATATCCCTTTGTATTTATTAGTATAGATGACCCTTATTTTTTAATATTACAAGTAAAGCGATCCATGCCCCTGTGGGGGAGAGGTGTTACATTAGTCGCCTCATATGTCATTCGTCCGGAGTTGGGCTAGCTAAAGGCTCCGTGGTAGAGCGTCTAACTAGACGTTTAGTGTCACTATTTAATCCCCGGCGGAAACAAAGAGGCCATAATGTTTATCCCTGAAGTAGATATACTGTGTACGGATGTCTAATACTTAGACATGACAGATCACTGTCATCAGGTCTGATTGACTGTCAACCGATCTACGTTACCCCATTCCTTTAATAAACCAGTCAGTCGGTGTAAAATATGTTTTTGTGCACATCTTTGAGTGAATGGTTAAATAACGAAATCTGAAGTAAGCAAACAAGACATGCAATATAATTAACTATGTGGTTTTCTAAAACGTACCATCAGTCTCCGCGGTTCGTGTCATCCTCTGCAACTTTCACTTCCGGTGTTACGGACTGAATAAAAGTATGAAAGAACAATCAACGTTTCCCGGTCAAAATATCCGGAAAGGAATATTAAAAATGGCATTGCCTAAATAAGGGCGACACGTGGATGGGGACCACGCAGTTAGGCTAGTATCTCACAGATTCAGTGCTTTCGTTTTTCTATTTTATCAAGAGACCCAGAGGGTCTGTATCGCTTACCAAGACTATATATATATATCAAACAATCAAGATCAGTACAAGATAACAGAAACTTTATTTAACGTCGCATATCAATATCAAACAGAGAAACATTAGCGCTGTAGCGCTATTTGGACAATCAGGATAAAAAGCAAACAGAAAACAACAAACAAGCTATACACTATCACAGAAAGCTAGCACATATTAATCAGTGAGTGAAACATACAAGAACATAGCAGCATATAATTAGATATCACAGGCACTAAATTAAATTTAAAGTACTATCCTAAAAATGATGTAATATGATAATAGTGAACATTTGCATATCACATATGTGTTGCTATGTAATAGGATGGTTAAATCACTACAAGTATAATGTACATACATGCTAATCAGAGACGTATAAAGCCATGTTATATACGTCTCTGTGCTAATATAGCAAAAAAGTAAAATTTGACATAATTATACACTAACATAGTGTAAATTAAAATAGGACAACAAGGTATATCTAGTAAGTAAAAACATATTGAGCTATACATCTAAAAGCGCCATGCAAAGCAGAAGTTAAGCTGGAGACGTATAATACGTCTCTGGTTAAGCTAAATAGATAGGTAAATAAGTAAATGAATAAATAAATAATAATAAAGCAGCTAGGGGGTAACTAATAATAAAGACTAAAATACTGAAAAACCATTAAAACTCTAAACACAGATACAGATACGACATGAGCAAACGGGGCCATCCCAGGAGTGCAGCAGTCTGGCAAACTCTGGATAACTATCCACCTTTCTCAAATGGTTTGGCAGACTGTTCCACACCCTGGCGGCCTCGTAGCGAAAAGACTTTAGTCCATACATTACCTGGTTAGTCCAGCTGTCTTTCATTCCTGAGGCTATAAAAAGACGATTTCAAGGTTGAAAGATTGCATAAATAATCCGGAGCTACGTTGGTAATAATTTTAAAAACTTCACAAGCCATGGATTTCATTCTGTTTATACGAAGAAAAGATAAAATAGCTTTCTCTAAAAGTTCTGAAACTGGCGTTGTGAAGTCATCCTCAATAAAACGAATGGCTCTTTCTTGTATCTTCTCTATCTTCCCTGTGGAATTTAAACTGCAGAAATGCCATGCCAGGGGACTATAATTAATTGAATTGTACCTATCTTCAATTATTTGAATATAGGTGCAATCATTTGAATATGTATTAATTTGGCGTTCCATAGAAAACTTCAGCGGTGCTATTTTGTTTTAAGAACACTTTCAGTGCTCAAAGTTTATAATATACTACATACGTCTCTGTCTGCAGCAAGTTAATTTATATTTCATACTTTTCTTATGATATTTTTTTCTTGATAAATTCTTTTAATTAAATTGTTTATTTTATAAAGTCTGTGTTCCCTTGCTATACTAGCAAATATGTACATAACACTTGTACTTAAAGTGTCCTAATCTTTCCTGTAGAACCCTGTGTTCCCTGATACGTGTTTATATTCAAAATCATATTCTTATTACAGTGATGTACACCGAAGCTTTGTTTTATGATGTATTTTTTTTACCGAAACTTTTAAATATCAAGAGTCTTTGTATATTATGCAGGAAGGGGATATCCACTCTCTTAACAATAACAGACGGATATGATACATATTTTATGAATTACTTAAATGTATCTAAAACGGTAGAGTATGTATGTGATTATTCTTCCACTAAAATAGTTCAAAATTATCCCTACTGCACCAACAGCTAGAATATTATCAAAAATTATAAATATATAATATGTTGCTTCCTTATAAATGATGCACTGAAGCAGGGATGTGTATTGGACACATCCCTGACTGAAGTGACTAAGTTTATGCTGGAACTTAAATACCGAAAATCAGCGAGAACCGACCTTACTTTCCGGATATTTATAGACCATTCGGTTTTATAATTTATATTCTCGCAAAAAATAAATAATAATGGTGATACTTAAAATGTTCAATAGTTCTATGGACAAAAGGAAACACATATTGGTATAAAATGATTGAAAATGTACACCTTTGAATGATGGGAATGATTATTTTTCTTTAAATATATTCAGTCCGTGACCGTTATATGAGGTCATGACCTTTGTCGTCATGGCACAAAAGACTCTCTAATCAAGTAGCAGACCGAGATGAAGACACGAATGTGGCCTTACTTGGATGTGTAGGTCTCCTTGCCGCCCTTACGGGTGAAGACGTAAATTTGTTCCAAGGTACTTGTTTTCCTTAATGCATTATATGTGTTACTCTTCATACGATTTGTTGTCAGTCGGGAAAATTGTGTAGCAGGTTCTCTTTTACTGTGAAAGCCTTGTTATTTCAACTGTCAAAACTCCTTTGAAAAATTGCCATGCTACCGGTTAAGTTGATAACTTGACACAGCCGAGTTGTGTTGGGATTAGATTAAATGTAATATTTATACAATAGTCCATGGTATGGATATGAGAATATTAAAATATATCATTGCATATTGACTGCAGTGTAGATGCGTGATTTTAGTCTATATATTTTCAAGAAAAGGTTTGGTGAGTTCGATTTACGTTAGATGTAGTCAAATATGTGGTTAGACTAAAAGCAATCAAGTGAGATTTGTCACATGTAGGTAATGCGAGTATATATACTAATAACAATTCAACAAACATACTCAAAACACTGTTTCTTTTCAGCTTTTCCAAAAAATATTGGAAATAGTTTGATTATGTTCTCATCAGATGTAAGGTTAATATAGATTGTGTATATATATACAACTGCAACTCGAGAGCAAAATCAGTGATGGGCAATAGGTTAAAAATCATAAATGGTTAACAGTTTCAAAAGTAGTAAATAAATCAATTTTATGTGGCTGAGTACTGAAGTACAACACCCTTGTAATGTAAATTGACTCCGTTGTGTACTATACATTAAATTTCCTAGCTGTTTTTAGTATCAAACTTTAACACAGTTTTAAGTGTGTGTTTTTTATATCAGACAGATAAGACAAATCATTAAAATAAATTATTTTCATTGCATACTGCACTTTTTTTATTTAAGTTCAGTAATGAACCAATATTATATCTATTAGTATTACAGAATTGTAGTCAATAATCAGAAAAAGGATCCAAATGAATTTTTGGTGTAATTGATCAACATCACTCACTTTTGTATATATACAATATCAACATTGCAGTATTCTGAATTTTCCAACATGTTGTAAGAGGCAGATATTCTGGATTTCCCATATTGACATACATGTACTTTTTCCTATTAGCAAGACAAAATATGTATAAGTATTTTATTTCCATGGTTTCTCATTAATTAGTTAAAATACAACGAGAGCTTAAATCATACTGATTCCTTTCTAGTAGATCTAGATCTTACAGCAACTATAACATAGACATTGCATGTACATCAATGACAGATGGACAAGAGAGACAGCAGAGAAAAAGAAAGTATAATACAAAGGAAGGGTGTCTTTAAGGCTCTTTTTTGGGCCCCGGTATATTCATATGTTTACCTCCTTATTTTGTTCAAAGATGTCCTATTGTATGACATGCAGAAAAATTAAGGTAAAACTTTGCACATAAACATTGGAAATAGGCAGAACATTTGATAAAACAATGAAATCGGTTAACTTTAACAATTAACGCAGATACTTTCATTGAGGCTAGGAGACTTAAAATTACCAGCAAATCAAACTTCATATATATACTTTGATAAGTAAAAAAACAAATCAGGACCTGGAACTCACTTCAGCCACAAGTGTTGAGCAAATATTATAGGATATATATAATATACAATACTAACAATTGATATCTTATTATAGCATATAAAGGGTGTCATGCATCTTTTAATTCACTTAAAATTGAGAGATATTTGAAAAGCAATGTTTGAGATGTGTCCAGAAGTCATAACTCAGTACAAAACAAAAGGAAAGTATGAAGTCACTATGCAATTTATGTAAGTCTACTTAAATGAGTGAAATTGTTCATTTCAAGTCAAAATATTAATTAGAAAGGAAATTATTGGAAAACAAATTACTTTTCAATTGAAAATGACCGAAAAGATCCCCCTGACGTAATCCTTCGTTTTATATAAACAATCTTTAAGTGAGGATTGAATTTCTGTCATTTTTCATTCCGTTACATATGCTTGTCTAATTTATACATGTTTTCAAAAACAGAAATGGTATTAGTTTGGTTTTTAAGCTCATTTAAAAACCGCAAACTATATTTGTGATTTACCATACCCCTAAGTTTTACCTTAGTTTTTGCGCATATCATACAATAGGACATCTTTGAACAAAATAAGGAGGTGAAAATCTGAATATACCGGGGCCCAAAAAAGGGCCTTATAGACACCCTTCCTTTATCAATTGCATAACACATCTGGTTATGACCTTTTAAAACAGTTTATAAGATGACCAATTTTCTATCACTAAGATTGTCTGGACTTTTTCTCTATAGTAGTATAAGTTTTATTCATTTAGTTCTGACATTATAAAACCTTATTTAAAAAAAGAAGGAAAAAAAAAGAAGGTAATTTTACAGATACCTATAGCTACATGTGCCCACAAAATAGGGGCAACCATAGTTTAAGCCGTTAACAACCATTAGGCCAAAAGTCAGCTAAAATATTTTCTGTTGGCAGTTGTTGCTGCTGTCCAGATGATCTCGGCCTTAAGTCTCTTTTTTTTGTGCTTTACTTCTAGATCTTGCCAAATAGCTCCTGTGATAACAAATAAAGATGGAGATGCATATGGAAATCCCAGCGGATCTTGCACTTTCAAAGGAAAACAGCATCCTCAACGACTTAAAACAGGAGACTCGTGATACTCCGGGATTTAGTGCCTTAACAGAAAATGAGCTAATGGAAAAAGTGGAAAACATTTTACTTGAAAGGATAAAAAATGGTGACAAAAGAGCTTACTTCCAGCTGGGATTATTTTATTATGAACAGGTATTTTCTTGGTGCATGAAAGTATCTTCTTTTTCGGACTGATCTTACAGTCTATAGCACCACATGAACCCTTTTTAGGTCACCTGAGACAAAGTCTCAAATGACCTATTACGATCGCCTTTTGTCCGTCGTGCGTCCGTAAACAATTAACATTTTCGACTTCTTCTCCAAAACCCCTGAACCAATTTCAATGAAATTTTGCAGAAACCTTCCATGGCCAAAGGTCAACAAAAATAGTGGCCGGTTTGGTCCCCAGCCCCCAGGGGCTCGAGGGGTGGGGCCAAAAAGGGTCAAATTGACTAAAATTTCAAAAATCTTCTTCTCAAGACCCATGCAGAAGATATGGTAGAATCAAATACTCTTCATAGATGGAAGGGTCTTGAGGTGCTTTACCAAAATTGTGAATTTCTTGACCCTGGGTTCTCATCTTTCCCCCTGGGGAGGGGGTAAACTTTACTATAGTTTATATAGGGAAATCACATTTTGGACCAACATTTGTTTAATTGCCATTGGAAGTAATTAAATTTAGGTTAGCATTATCAGTATTAGGTAGCAGTTTGATAGTATGCACATATGAGCCCTGAGTGACCCCCAGGGGCTGATGGATGGGGCCAAAAAGGGTTAAATCAACTGAAATTTCAAAAATCTTCTTCTCAAGACCCAGATATGGTAGAATCAAATACTCTTCATAGATGGAAGGGTCTAAATGACCCTGGGGTCTCACGTTTCCCCCTGGGGAGGGGGTAAACTTTACTATAGTTTATGAAAGGAAATCACATTTTGGACCAACATTTGTTCAATTTCCATTGGAAGTAATTCAATTTAGGTTAGAATTATCAGTATTAGGTAGCAGTTTGATGGTATGCACATATGAGCCCTGACTGACCCTACCGGAGCTGATGGGTGGGGCCAAAAAGGGTTTAATTGACTGAAATTTCAAAAATCTTCCTCTCAAAGACCAAACACTCTTCATAGATGGAAGGGTCTTGTTTATGATCCTAGGTCTCCCGTTTACCCCCTGGGGAAGGAGGGGGGGGGGGGGGGCAAAATTTATTATGGTTTATAATGGCAAATGATACTTTGAATATTACATGTTAATAACTTGACTGGAATTATAACCCTTAGTTGACAGTTTGATACTTTGAAAATTTTGAGCCAGCCCTACCCCAAGGGCTGGAGGGTGGAGCCCAAAGGCGTCAGTGTGCTAAAATGTCTTCATTTTCCTTGTTTAGAATCAGAGGTGCTAGTTTCAAATACTTTTTTAGTCTTAAATCTGTAAGCTAGATATTGAATAAGGTGGTTTTATTGTTTTTTTGTCACTTTGAATAATATTTTAGTTTATGTTAAAATCAAAATCAACTCTCTGTATAAATATATCAGGTGACCGTTAAGGCCCATGGGCCTCTTGTTTAAAGATGCATTAAATAGTGTTGGTCTGCAATTGTGCAAAATGTTCATACATTGAACTAATAGACAAGGAATAGTCAACTGATGAATGGTAAGATTAACACAGAAATATTTGGATGAGGTAGCTTTACGCAGGCATAAATGTAATTGACCATTTTATTATGAAGAGCTATGAGTTGACCTTTATCCCATGCATTTATATCTTGACTCAGCATTTTATTTTGTTTTGGGGGGTTTTGTTTATTTTTTTCGTGGGTGTGTGGGTGGGGGGGAGGNGGCTAAGGAGGCTTACTGTAATGTGTAATGTGCTGTTATTGTATTTAAAGAGAAATGATTGACATTGTAAAGATTTAGATATTTAGAAAATTTACCATCATTTAGGATCTTATATTTGTTATGTCCAGGCTCTTCAGGACAAAGCAAGGATATACTTTGAGAGAGCAAAGGACTTTGACTTCCAGGCACTATTCATGCTGGCCGTTATGCTATTTGATGGAGTGGGAGGAGACACTAATACGGTAGGTTTGTGTATTAATTTCAATTTCAAAAGTATTTTATTGACAATACATATATAATACAAACATATAAGTTAACATTAAAGAAGATATTAGAACAGTATTGACAAAAGAATAAGACAACAGGCTTTGCCTATATCAGTCTTCTTCTATTTCCGGTAGCTATATACAATGCTTAGATATATAAAATGTTGTGATTCGTTTTCCTCTCACACACATGCACACCCACACCCACACCAGCTTATGTCTAATACTCGTTATTTAAGGGACAAAACTTGCCTGAATAATAATAATAATAACAATACATGAATATTCATTTGGAATTTATCTAGCACGTATAAGTAACGAAACGTTTTGATGATTTAATATAAGAGTCAACATGTATAAGAATAGTTTTATTTAATTGGTCCGATGCATTACTAATACCATATACTAAACAGTGCAGATTTAAATATCCTAATAGATTATAAATAGTGGTAATATGATGCCTAATATTCGAATACAGAGGACATTGAAAGAAAAAATGTATAAGATCTTCCCTCTGTACACCACATACACAGGAAGCATCATCAATCAGATGGTCTTGTAACTTATCAAAGTTAAGATCACTTTTAAAATTTCTTAGCTGACATTGACATTGTGTATTAATGTGTTTAGTATAAATGTTTTCACTGTAAATATTTTCATTGACATGATAAAGTAAAAAAAATCATGAATATGGCAGGTTAAGTTTTATAATCTATTTTTTCTGTGATAACCAATTGTAATATTAAGCAACCTCTGTAATCTCTGATCTTTGTTAGTGTTGTCACTATTAGAAATAAAATATTCAAGATCTTAACCAATCTAGTTCAGATATTTTTCACTCTTTTTTCCCCCCCCCTGTTTTTTGGGCTAAATTTGTTTCATGTTTTCCTTTCTGCAGGAACAAGCTATAGAATACCTAAAGAAGATTGAATCTTCAAATGCCAAACATGCCAAACATCTTGTGAGGGCAGCCCAGTTTAACATTGGCCGGGCCTACTTCCAGGGATATGGTGTCCATCGCCAGTCTGATGAAATGGCTGAAAAGTAGGTTGTCACAGTTAACCATTATCTTTATTGGTACTTGCCACAGTTGCTCAGTTGCTCATTAACAAATGTTATTTTTCAAGGCTTCTTACTGTAAATCAGCTATGCATTTTCTCATTGTCATGTTTGCTTGTTACCACTTAATAAAACCTCATTGTCCCATCCTTGTTTTATCACAATTACTCACTGTAACAACTGCTGATGGTGCTACATGGACCTGTTTACAATATAGGTTCACCAACCTGAAGGTAATGAACACATCAGACCATTTTTTTGTATGGATTGCTCAGCTAGGTAGAATTATTTATCCATTCCTACCATTTTAGTTCTTATGCAGATTTAAAGTTGTTATGATGTTCATATTGATTATATTAAATGTAATTCAGTGCTAAATGCTGGTTTCATATTTGCCATGTTCTCAATCAAGTTTTAATCACATTTGAATTTTTGGCAGATTTCACCTTTTTCAGGGTTACATTCACTGTGTATTTTGATGGTGTGTTTCTGTAGATACTGGCTGTTGGCCGCAGATGATGGAAACCCCAACGGAAGTGTCAAAGCCCAGTCTGCCCTCGGCATGTTTTATTCCCTTAAAGACACAATGGATCTGAAAAAAGCTTTCTTCTGGCACTCTGAGGCTTGTGGGAATGGAAGCTTAGAGTCCCAAGGTAAATCCTTCAAATAGTATGGTGGTCATTTCATTGTTATTGCTATCTTTATCTAATTTAAAATGTAGCTTACAGTCTAAAATGATAGGGCAGTCATTAGCCAATATTGTTACTTGCAACATTTTGGTGTAAATTGGCTTCTTTTTATACAAACTCAGTAAAAAAATAAAATAAAATTATCTCACCGTTTATTTCCAAATTGGTCACGAGGGGCTAATAGGTAATATATGCATGTATGTTCATATACAACCATGATGACCTATTTAGTTATGTTTCCTTCTTTTTGTCAATAAAATATTTCATTTTTCAATGTAGGAAAAGTATCGCCATATTCAACTGCCAGTTAATCAAACCATTCAGTTTCTGTAAATAAGTGAAGACTTTTCATTTTCTTTTGAAGTAAGATTGCATTGTATTTGGGTAGCAGAATTGTGGTAAAATGAGGCTTGTTTCGTACAACTCAGGTCTATTTGTTTTTTAGCTGCCCTAAATAAAATGATATTGTTAGGGAGACAATAATTGGTATAATGTTCAGTGTTCAGAAAAAGCAAGTTTAAAAAAAATTGTTTATGCTTAGCTAGAGTAGCAAGGTTTCATTATTATTTGTTGTATGAGATTATAAACAGAGTCTGTTTCTAAAGATTTGGTTATGTACTAACAGGAGCCCTGGGGATTATGTACGAGCATGGTATTGGGGTCAAGGTTGACCTTGATGCAGCAAATGCGTGTCTGAAGGAGGCAGCCGAGCGAGGCAATGTGTACGCCATGGGACACCTTGTAGCCCAGTATTACAGACGGAAACTTTTTACCAAGGCTTCAGACCTAGCTGCGAGGTAGGACATAGTTTTACATGCCTACTATATACAATACAATAGACAACATTTGATATAGCGCCCTATCTAGCTAACATAAGCCACTCTAAAGCACTTTACAGTACATAGATATACAATTAATACAATCAGCATTTGCATTTATCAATACATGTACAATTTTTGAGGAATTACAATTTTTGAGGAATTCGCAAGAGCTGCCTTATCTGGCGCTAACAACTATTCCTGCCACCTGGCTGATATCTTCCTATGTGTGTATGCCTGCGTATGTGCTGGAGATGTATTGTGTTCTGTTTGTAGTGGGACTTTGCTTCCAACGGCATCTTTTATAGTGCCACCTCATTTGAATGCTACAGCACAAATACCGCAACATCCACCCCAGACCAATTTATACTCCACCTGGGTTGTTGGAGTTGTGTGGGCAGGAGAAAAACACTTTCTCTGATATTCCATGTACCATACACGCTCTTCAACATAGTAGGGACACATTGTTTACTGAAGTGTTACTGTTGTCTGTTATAGAGATATTCTACTCATCTATCTGACTGATGTCTTGCATGGGATAACTCTAGTGTAAAAGTGGAAAGTTTCACACCTAATGTCTATGACATGGAAATGTCGATGTTGTGTCCCTTTAAACTGATCGTGGTGTAGACATTTTGACATTGGCAATGGTTCTGGAACTTATATATTCTATAACTATAATCAATATAATCTATAAATTAGTATTGGTGTGTGGATATTTTTGCACAAATTAAATTAACTTAAAAAATGCAAAATATTTACATATACTGCAAAAATATCCAATTTTACAGCATCTTTCACTCACAGCTCTGGTAAAACACTAGCCCCTTATTCAGTAGTTATGAATATCCTGCATTCCTACGATGGTAATTCTGATGAAGATCTTTTCCTTCCAGAGTGTCCCAATTTTCTGACATCGATCAGATAGCTAAGGAGACAGACTGTTTACCTAACTATATCAGGAAGGGTATAGGTCTTGGCTGTTTCTACTATGCTCGCTGTCTGGAAGAGGGTCATGGTGTGAAGCAAGATAAAGAAGAGGCTGGAAAATGCTACTCTAAGGTAAAACAAGATCCTACTGACCATAATAAATCTTAACTCATTCAACCCTGAAATAGTAAAATTGACTATTCCAACCTTTGAATTGGAAGAGTTTAAATGTGTCTTCAGTGGTGAATGAGTTAATAGGTTTGTGCATGAAAAAATAGTAATTTTCTGTACTTTAAAGAGCTAAAGGTTTTTCAAAGATGTTTTAATTTATTTTTGAACATTCAATAGAATATATTGTGATTGAATTGATTTTGTATAAGATGTTAGCTGCTGTAAACAAAACCATTCATGTGTGTTGGGTTTTTTCAGTCGTTCGAGTATGACCCGGATGTTTGTGCAACACTACAGAATATCACTCAACATGGTGTGATATAGGTCATCCTTTAGAATAAATCTGGGTGTCTGTTGTGAATGCTGTAGAGATTCCCATGATGTTGGACTGTCTAGCATATACCAAAGACTGTTAAGTACCCTCCAGTACTTCAGAGAGCAGCAGTAAAACATAGGCGACAGAGCTGGGTGTGTGTCTCTGTGATAGGAGCAATTCCACTGTCATCATTTGTGTTTTGTACATTCCATGTAAATGAGCAAAGTACGTTACAACTGATGGTATAATTATGGCTTGTCAAATTTGCATTTATGTCTTCAATAGATGGGAGATAAGCCAAATGTTTCGTAATTTTTATCCAATTTATACCATTTTTGCCCAAAGAAGAACTTTCTGGTGTCAAACATGTGCCCATTTGTTGTCAAATGACCACTTAGCCAATTATTCAGAGAGCACAACTGTGATTTTGATAAAAAGAATATATTACAAAAAACTGTTATTTATTTCTAGACATATTGTTGATTATAAAGATCCCAACTTTGCTGTGATTTATTGGTTGTTAATCAAGAATGAGACACATGTAGTTTCATTTGAGTTATACAACAGTTCTTTTTTAAGAAATTTGTGATGAAACAAGACCAAGGGAGACTTAATTAACTTAAGGTCCATGTGAACAATTAAAATCAGTATATTTAAAATGAGTACATTGAACCAATAGATGATCATATGATCATAAAATAATCTGTGATATTTAATATTGTCTGTATCAGTGTTTTTTGATTTATGTTTTTCATACAAATCTAGCTGCCTCATTTTTTATACTAGAATATGCATTTTTCTAAATTTGAACACTGTATTAGGTTCTATTTAATGCAAGTTGTAGGCTGTTTATTTTAAAAGCTTCCTTTTTTAATCCAGTAAATACCAGATACAATATGAAGAAAATCTTAAACCAATATACCCTCAGCTTGAAATCGAGAGAGCGAGGAAGATAATGACGTAGATCTATAGGATCAGTTCACTTAGAGCTGTGTATTTATCAGGCTGTTGAAGAACTCTAGATCTATAAATTATATATGTATCGTGTGTACGTTCCTTTATTGCCTTTAGATATCTGGGCCCCAGGCTGTTGTAGGACTCTAGATCTAAATGTATCTTGCGTGTAGCTAGGTTCCTATTTTTCTTTCAGATATCTGGACCCAGTCTGTTTTCAGGATTTTTTTTTATTTTTCATATTAATTAAAACTTTCAATAGAAATATTTGTAAAAGTAAAAAAGTTTGTATTTCATATTTTTAGACTGATTTTTGGGAAAAAATGCAATGATACATTTTAATAACATCAAGCTAACAATTTGAGGAGAATTCAATAATTACATTTTTTTCTCTCGATTAGGAACAGCAATTTGAAATGGTGTTGTTTTAGATATTTTAATACTTATAGACGGGATACAGAAATATTCCGTTGATATATATACCGTAGTTGTGGACCAGTGTATTATAGTTGTAGAGCGTCTTGTATCTTACACCAGGATACTGTCAGTGATCTCACCAGTTACTCACTGTATTTATGTGAAATTTGGTTGAATAAACAAAAAATGTTTACAAAATGTAAATTTACTAAAAGATTTTATGTAGATATATATATAAGGACACTATGTCTGCTGTCGACTGGTACTGTTTGTACCTGGCGTACACATGTCGACTGGTACTGTTTGTACCTGGCGTACACATGTCGACTGGTACTGTTTGTACCTGGCGTACACATGTCGACTGGTACTGTTTGTACCTGGCGTACACATGTCGACTGGTACTGTTTGTACCTGGCGTACACATGTCGACTGGTACTGTTTGTACCTGGCGTACACATGTCGACTGGTACTGTTTGTACCTGGCGTACACATGTCGACTGGTACTGTTTGTACCTGGCGTACACATGTCGACTGGTACTGTTTGTACCTGGCGTTGGACATGACAATTACACTGTGTATAAGGTCGTGGTGATCTAGCTAGATCTGTGATAGACAACTATATATACTAGTCAGTATCATGGCCCTGGGGCTCACATAACATGTCATCTTCATCTTATTGCAGTTTTATTTTCTTCATTAAAACCTGTCAATACTGAGCAAATTATTAAATTTGATTTGAAAACATTTATTTCAGCTGGGTGGTGTGTGCATCATTTGCTTAAAAATTCAATGTCATGTCAAATATATTACAGTTTAGTCAAATATTGGTACATCAGTTTGCTCAAACTAATTCACTGAGACATGAAATAGGTTTGCTTGGCATCCTGTGAGTTGTATTCTAGAACAAAAATGATTATTAATACATCCAACTACAAATGCAAGTTTAAAGTGATTGCGAATTTTTGGACTAAATTTGTGAGCTGCCATTTGAGAAAAATCTTCTCAGATTTGTAAATAATGATGAATTAAGTCCTCGCTATCAGAGACTATTAGGTTATTTATGTGTTAAATATTTACAGTCTTTAATCATGAAGTTTTCTGTGTAAAAATCAGTTTCATATAATAATGTGTATAAAGTGGCCCAGAGAAAGAGATGTTTAATTGTGTTATTATAAGTAATGATGTAGATTTCCTGTTTAATAGATGAAACATGAAATGACCCAGCAAGTTAGTGCTATAACTCAGATGGAATATAACTGTTTTATTTTGTGTTGTTCTGTATTTGTCCTTGCAATACTGTAAGGCCTTACATTGAATGTTAGAGTTGTCTGCCTGTACATTAGATGTTAGTTGTCTGTCCTTCCATGGGGTGTTAAAGTTGTCTGCCCTTACATTGGGTGTTACAATTGTCTACCCTTACATTGGGTGTTACAGTTGTCTACCCTTCCATTGGTTGTTACAGTTGTCTACTCTTACATTGATGGTTACAGTTGTCTGCCCTTACATTGAGGGTTACAGTTGTCTGCCCTTACATTTGATGTTACAGTTGTCTGCCCTTACATTGGTGTTACAGTTGTCTGCCCTTACTTTTGGAGTTACAGTTGTCTGCCCTTACATTGAATGTTACAGTTGTCTGCCCTTACATTGGGATTTACAGTTGTTTGCCCTTACATTTGACGTTGCAGGCATATCTTGATTTTAGAAATCTCAGAGAGTTCACCATTAATCTAAACCATTGATGTAGATGACAGTTTAACAGGAGGCAGACTTTGAACATATATAATTTCATATACCAGGGCGTTTTGCCGCTAGATAATTTATCTCAATAAAACTTTTGATGTATTTTGTTAAACTAGATTTAATGATGAATGTTATTAAAGACTCTTTAATACTTGTGTTGTTGGAAGATGATGAGCAGAATAGGAGACATGATGTATTTATTGTTAGATATACACCATCATATACAGCACTACTGCACGTAGATTGGTGACCAGGGAAGTAGAACTAATATTGGGGAAATGCATGGTTTCCTGTATCATAACAAGACCTATAATATTATTTTATAATTTATGAACCTGTGATACTGTTGGATATATAATCATATTTTATTTTTTTTAATTACTTTTTCAATTTAATCATAATTATATGGTATTGAAATTTTATGGTCTCAAATATTTTACACACTCCAAATCTACAAGCATAGCACCTGCTATTTATATCTTTGGGTTGGTGACACAATGTTTTCTCTGTAAATGCTCTGCATGTATAGAGATAACATTAATCCTAAATAATAATGTAATGTGTGCTGTCAAAACAAATTACAATGAAAAGATCTTATTTTAGGATCTGTACATTTCTCCCTTCTTATTAGTCAATATTCTTATGTTCTCCTTCTCATACAAACTCTTATTTGAATTTATTAAACCAATTAATTATGATTCGTAATTAGAAAATAGTTTATGTTTTTGTGTGCAATTGAAGTTAAGTGCATTATCTGTATATAAATAGATTTCTTGATTGATGTCCTTTTGAAGCTTTGTATTAGATTCTAGCTTTATCATATGATCACACACACATGAGGCCAATGTCACGTTGCTGTTTTAAAACCTCTGTATAACAACCATCCTACCAGTGAGGACCAAGAAGTTACCATCCTAGACCAACCAGAGCAAGTACCAAGTGGCAAGGAAGTAGCAATTTTGATCTAAAGCTTCCATCATAGGTTTTGTGTGGCCCTGTTTAGTGTTGTTAACCCCATGACCTGTTACTTTTCCAGTGACAATTACAGTTTTTGCGTTGTTTTGTTTGCTGGATTGAATATTTTGATTCTAAATAATAATTTCATAATAGAGGAATGAGAAAAGGACCCAGGCAGAAACATTTCAATCATCACATTGCCTGAACAAAATAAAATCATAGGAAAATACATACAGGGGATGATATCTAAAATTCATATAGGGGATGATATCTTAAATTCATATCGGGATGATATCTTAAATTCATAAAACTGAAATGTTGGTGGCAATAGTTATAAGCATACAAAAGACTATAAATAGGAAACTTTTAGATATAGGAGTTGAGTTTTTGAATTAATACTTAGATCAAATTAGTCAATAAGGTCAAGTTGAACAAGGTTTGAATGAAATGTTGGTGGCAATGACTAGCTGAATATATGCCCAGTCCTGAGATTCTGTGTATATCCTGTATCAATTCGTAGAATTCATGTACAAGTTCTTCAATAAGTAAACGTAAAAAAAAAAATTTAAATGTATCTGCTCATCTGTTCAGGCAGAACCTAATTATGCAAAGTATGTACCGTAAGCATTAAGATGTGTCTTGTACTGTATGTTTAAAAGTCAAGTTTAGGTGACTTTACAATCATTTATACACTATTTCTATTATTAAAATGATGTATGTACATTGTACTACTTGTTATGTATGGCAAGTAAAAATATAAATTCAGCGAAAAAAAATTGAACGATTTTTAATTTCAACATTTATATGACAGAATAAGCATACTGTTACTGTGCCGTCCATTCTGGAGCCTGCATGTGAATATTTCCAAAGCAACTGTCTCTGGTTAATATTCTCTGTGATAAAACATACAAATTTCACTTGACTGACGACGAATCCTGAGCATTTTCGATATTTTGCCTCAACTTTTAGATAATATTTAAATGAAGTTTTGATTGTTAATTTTTTGTTTTGATGATTTACAAAATAATGAAAATAAAAAAGTGTATCAATTAAATTTTACATGTTGTTATGTTTGTGTAGGTTTCTTGCATGTTTTTTACACTACATAATTTTAATTGTTTGAGAGTCCTACATTATAATGTTATATCATAAAGTGTTCAAATCACAAACATGTTAAAAGCTTGAGGTGCACATATCAGAGTTATCTCCCTTGTAGAATAACTGAAGGAGAACGAGATGACACAACTCTTCCATACCTAGGATCCCAGACATATAAACAACAGATATAACACTGGAGCTAAGGAATCATATTCTTGTAATAGATGACCAACCTTGTGACCTCAAGATCTTTAGGCTTGTTGCATACACGGTAGACATTCTTCAAGTAATTTTGACTCTAATTTTACAAAAAAGATAGCATACAAGTTACCTTAAATGTAAATGTTTCTGATTTACAGAGTTTGTTAAATAGATCTACGTAAATAAATAAAATCATCTGGATATCGTATAGAGTTATCATCAAATGAACATTCAGTTAAACTTTGAAGATTACTGATATAATCTGTGTATCAGTCATGCACTAAGGTAATGAGCAGGAGACTAGGGCAGGCTGTTACTCATCTACATGTTAATTAAGGTTTCTAATTAGTTTGATACTGATTAACAATGAGTGGCACTCCCTTGGCCTGTCACACCATTGTACACACACCTACACCTAATAGTGTTAAACTGCTCCTACCTGACATATAATGTACCAAGTAACACCAGGCAGCAGTGTGTTCTGTATGTATATATAGAGTCAATAAAATGTAAAACTCATTAAATTGATATTAACGTGGCTGGGATCTACAAAATGTCTAGCCTATATAACCTTAATAGAATTTGTACCACCAATCAATACTAACAATGTCTCAAAAAATAAATATATAATTAGGAAACATCAAAAGTGGCGATGGTAATTATATATAAAACTAGAACACGTCTGTAATACATGAATGCCCTCATTGCCATGTGAGTTTAATTAGTTTCAGTGTTTAATCATGTTCCATAAATAGTAAAAACTTCTTTGGTCTTAACACACTTTAAGGTTATCATACTTAAAGTTGATAAATGGAGAAATACAAAGAAAAAATTCTACGAATAGCAACATGCAGTGACTTTTAAG